GTATACAGAGACCCTCATAGCACACCGACACCCTCACAGTATACAGAGACCCTCATAGCACAGAGACCCTCACAGTACATAGAGACCCTCACAGTACATAGAGAACCTCACAGCACACAGAGACCCTCACAGTATACAGAGACCCTCACAGTATACAGAGACCCTCACAGTAGATAGAGACCCTCATAGTACACAGAGACCCTCACAGTATACAGAGACCCTCACAGTATACAGAGACCCTCATAGTACATAGAGACCCTCACAGTATACAGAGACCCTCACAGTATACAGAGACCCTCACAGTACATAGAGACCCTCACAGTATACAGAGACCCTCACAGTATACAGAGACCCTCATAGCATACAGAGACCCTCACAGTATACAGAGACCCTCATAGTACATAGAGACCCTCACAGTACAAATAGACCCTCACAGTATACAGACCCTCACAATATAGAGAGACCCTCATAGCACACAGACACCCTCACAGTATACAGACACCCTCACCGTATACAGAGACCCTCACAGCACACAGAGACCCTCACAGCACACAGAGACCCTCACAGTATACAGACCCTCACAGTATACAGAGACCCTCATAGCACACAGAGACCCTCATAGCACACAGAGACCCTCACAGTATAGAGACCCTCACAGTATACAGAGACCCTCATAGTACATAGAGACCCTCACAGTATACAGAGACCCTCATAGCACACAGAGACCTTCATAGCATACAGAGACCCTCATAGTACATAGAGACCCTCACAGTATACAGAGACCCTCATAGTACATAGAGACCCTCCTAGTACAAATAGACCCTCACAGTATACAGACCCTCACAATATAGAGAGACCCTCATAGCACACAGACACCCTCACAGTATAGACACCCTCACAGTATACAGAGACCCTCACAGTATAGAGACCCTCACAGTATAGAGACCCTCACAGTATAGAGACCCTCATAGCACACAGAGACCCTCACAGTATACAGAGACCCTCATAGTACATAGAGACCCTCACAGTATACAGAGACCCTCATAGCACACAGAGACCTTCATAGCATACAGAGACCCTCATAGTACATAGAGACCCTCATAGCACACAGACACCCTCGCAGTATACAGAGACCCTCATAGCACAGAGACCCTCACAGTACATAGAGACCCTCACAGCACACAGAGACCCTCACAGGACACAGAGACCCTCACAGCATACAGACCCTCACAGCATACAGACCCTCACAGTATACAGACCCTCACAGTATACAGAGACCCTCGCAGTACACAGAGACCCTCATAGCACACAGAGACCCTCACAGTATACAGAGACCCTCACAGTATACAGAGACCCTCACACAGAGACCCTCACAGCACACAGAGACCCTCATAGCACACAGAGACCCTCACAGTACACAGAGACCCTCACAGTATACAGAGACCCTCATAGCACACAGACACCCTCACAGTATACAGAGACCCTCACAGTACATAGAGACCCTCACAGCACACAGAGACCCTCACAGCACACAGAGACCCTCACAGTATACAGAGACCCTCATAGCATACAGAGACCCTCACAGTATACAGAGACCCTCATAGTACATAGAGACCCTCACAGTATAGAGAGACCCTCATAGCACACAGAGACCCTCGCAGTATACAGAGACCCTCGCAGTACACAGAAACCCTCACAGTATACAGAGACCCTCATAGCACACAGAGACCCTCATAGCACACAGAGACCCTCACAGTATACAGAGACTCACAGTATACAGAGACCCTCATAGTGCATAGAGACCCTCACAGTATACAGAGACTCACAGTATACAGAGACCCTCATAGCACACAGAGACCCTCACAGCACACAGATACCCTCACAGTATACAGAGACCCCCTTATAGCACACAGAGACCCTCACAGTGACCTTATATTACTCACAATGACTCTTTAGTAAGCAGATACATTAATTGTCTCCTAGAATGCGCAGCGGAGTCCTGTGTGTGAATAAGTTTAATTAAGAGGAGGAGATACCAAGGTAAACACAGTGCTGTAAGATTGAAAGCCTTTATTATTGTCATGCAGGCTGTGTGTGAGTGTCAGCCAGGGGAGGTATGACTAGGTCTGAATAAACAAAGTGATTTAACTCCTACATGGCAAATAATTGAGAAGTGAGACTGCAAGGGCATGATTTATACAACAAAACCACTTCATGCATATTTCTAATATTGTCGCATAGCAGTCAAACTTGGGTATAAAAAAAAAAATCTAATTTAAAGAACCTGTAGATTTAATATGGGTAAATGGCTGGTCTTGGGGTGCAAAGGGTAAATATGGGGTACTGGGATTAGTGTTCCTGAGTTCTAGGTCCATCTGTAGCGTATTATCCACGAGATCAGAGCCAGCGAGCGAAAACTTGAAAGCGTTACTCCCTGAAAGTAGGATTCCAGGAATGTGCTGGGTCCGCTGTAAGAATGCACGGGATAATCACCAAATTGGAAAGACACAGTCTGCATGCACGCTGACTGTACAGCTTACCTTAAATCCCACTAGCCACAGAGACAACCTGCACTTCACCATCCATCCCCTAGAGGGCAGCACATGGATTCATTATTATTATTAGTGGTGTTTATACACAGTATCGCCAACTTATTCTCCAGAGCTTTACAATATTATAAAGGGGGAAATTTAACAATAAATGAGACAATTACAAAATGTTACAGGAACAATAGGTTGGAAAAAGTCTCACTCTACACCTGACTTCCTCCACTATAAATTTATGCTGCGCTCCTACACTCTGGCTCTTTCCTCTGCAAAAGTAAATTACCACACTCTCCCGCGAAGCAAACAACTTTCACATTTTTAATGCTCTCCTTCACCCTGTTGTTCCCCCTCTCCCTACCATCCTGTCCGCCTCAAACTTTGCAAGTCACTTCACTGAGAAGATTTCTACAATCAGGAAAGATATCTCTAACCACTCTCCCTCCGCTTCCAATACATCACCCAACCCCACTCCCTCCTCTGTTCAATGCTCATTCGCACCTACTACAACAGAAGAGGTTTCCGCTCTGCTTCGGTCCTCACCTGTTCCCTTGATCCTATTCCCTCATAGTCATATCTCATCCGCACTATGTCTCCCTCTCTTGCTCTTCCTCTCACTAAAATTTTGAATCTCTCCATTTCCTCCAGCACATTTCCTTCACTCTTCAAGCATGCAACCATAACGCCAATTCTGTAAAAGCCCAACTCCCCATCCAACTACCACCCTATATCGCTACTGCCATTTTCCTTCAAGATCCTCCAGAGAGTTGTGTATGCAAGATTGATAGAGTTCCTCGAATCCAACTCTCTGCTTCAGTCTGGATTCCGCGCTCGTCACTCTGTTGAAAAAGTTGTGACAAAAGTATCCGACGATTTCATCGCTGCTAAAATTCGCGGCTATTACTCTATCCTAATTCTCTTTGATTTTTCTGCTGCCTTTGACACTGTTGCTCATCAACAACTTCTCATCATCTGCAATATAGGTCTACAAGATATTGCTCTCTCCTAGTGCTCCTCCTACCTTTCACAACGCTTTTTCAGTGTTTCTTTCTCTGGCTCTGCCTCTTCTCCCTAACTACTGTCTGTTGGCGTTCCCCAAGGTTCTGTCCTTGGTCCCCTACTGTTCTCTATCTATACTGCCTCCCTTGGTAAACTCATTAGCTCCTTTGGCTTCCAATATCATTTCTATGCGGATGACACACAAATCTACCTGTCCTCTCCTGATCTCTCTCCGCCCATCTTGACTTGTGTCTCTGACTGCCTCTCTGCGATTTCCAACTGGATGGCTGCTCACTTCCTTAAACTCAACCTGTCCAAAACAGAACTTCTGATCTTTCCTCCCTACTTCTGTCTCCCTCCAAGTCAACGGCGCCACCATCACCTCTACCTCGCAGGTTTGCTGCCTAGGTGTTCTCTTTGACTTCCAACCTCTCCTTTACCCTTCATGTCCAGTAGATCGCCAAATCCAGCCGCTTCCATCTCAAAAACATAGCTCGCATCCGCCCCTATTTAACACCAGACGCAGCTAAGGTGCTGGTCCATGCCATTGCTCTTTCTCGACTCGACTACTGCAATCCCCTTCTCAGTGGTCTTAGGTGTTCCCAGATTGCACCACTGCAATCTATAATGAATGCGGCGGCAAGGCTCATGTTCCTGTCCGCTCGCAGCTCCGACGCCTCCCCCTTCTGTCAGTCCCTGCATTGGCTTCCAGTTAGATATAGGGCTCAATTTAAGATTCTGGTGCTTGTTTACAAGTCCCTACATAATGCTGTTCCAACCTACCTATCCTCCCTGATACATAAGTATGTCCCGTTGAGGCTCCTGCACTCTGCTGAAGACCTACGTCTATCTTCTGTCCATACTCCCACATCTGATGCTCGCCTCCAAGACTTCTCCAGGGCTACACCTTTTCTGTGGAACTCCCTTCCCTTCTCTGTAAGACTTTCACCCAGAAAATCTTTGAAAACTCACTTCTTCAGGAGGGCATGTCATTTAAACTGCAACTGTCAAAAAGAAAGTTCTCAGCGAATACTTTTCTAAAAACCTATTTCATTACCCCTACTTATACCTTTTGTGTCACTATACCCCACTCCCTCTAGCAAGTAATCTCACTGAGCAGGGCCTCAATCCCTCTGTCACTGTGTCACTATACCCCACTCCCTCTAACATGTAAACTCACTGAGCAGGGCCCTCAATCCCTCTGTTACTGTGTCACTATACCCCACTCCCTCTAACATGTAAACTCACTGAGCAGGGCCCTCAATCCCTCTGTTACTGTGTCACTATACCCCACTCCCTCTAACATGTAAACTCACTGAGCAGGCCCTCAATCCCTCTGTTACTGTGTCACTATACCCCACTCCCTCTAGCATGTAAGCTCACTGAGCAGGGCCCTCAATCTCTCTGTTACTGTGTCACTATACCCCACTCCCTCTAACATGTAAACTCACTGAGCAGGCCCTCAATCCCTCTGTTACTGTGTCACTATACCCCACTCCCTCTAACATGTAAGCTCACTGAGCAGGCCCTCAATCCCTCTGTTACTGTGTCACTATACCCCACTCCCTCTAACATGTAAACTCACTGAGCAGGACCCTCAATCCCTCTGTTACTGTGTCACTATACCCCACTCCCTCTAACATGTAAACTCACTGAGCAGGTCCCTCAATCCCTCTGTTACTGTGTCCCTATACCCCACTCCCTCTAACATGTAACTCACTGAGCAGGGCCCTCAATCCCTCTGTTACCGTGTCACTATACCCCACTCCCTCTAACATGTAAGCTCACTGAGCAGGGACCTCAATCCCTCTGTTACTGTGTCACTATACCCCACTCCCTCTAACATGTAAACTCACTGAGCAGGCCCTCAATCCCTCTGTTACTGTGTCACTATACCCCACTCCCTCTAACATGTAAACTCACTGAGCAGGCCCTCAATCCCTCTGTTACTGTGTCACTATACCCCACTCCCTCTAACATGTAAACTCACTGAGCAGGACCCTCAATCCCTCTGTTACTGTGTCACTATACCCCACTCCCTCTAACATGTAAACTCACTGAGCAGGCCCTCAATCCCTCTGTTACTGTGTCCCTATACCCCACTCCCTCTAACATGTAAACTCACTGAGCAGGGCCCTCAATCCCTCTGTTACTGTGTCACTATACCCCACTCCCTCTAACATGTAAACTCACTGAGCAGGCCCTCAATCCCTCTGTTACTGTGTCACTATACCCCACTCCCTCTAACATGTAAACTCACTGAGCAGGCCCTCAATCCCTCTGTTACTGTGTCACTATACCCCACTCCCTCTAACATGTAAGCTCACTGAGCAGGCCTTCAATGCCCAGACCAGGCTAAACATTCTTTCTCCACTGCCGCATAGCTCACTTCCCGGGGTAATAACTTTCTGCTGAGATATGCGACAGGGTGCTCTCCTCCATCTTCCCCGACATGGCTCAGCATAGCCCTCAGTCCATACATGGAAGCATCTGTATGAACAAGAAAGCGTTTGTTAGGGACTGGGGCAGCCAAGACAGGGGCATTCACAAGAGCCTGCTTCAGTGCCTGAAATGTGGCTTCACAAGCTGGAGACCACAGGACCTGCTTAGGTAAATTATTTTTCGTCAGGTCAGTCAGGGGCTTGGCGATAGTACTGTAGTCAGGGACAAAACGTCTGTAGTACCCTGCCATCCCTAAGAAGACTAGCACCTGGGTCTTCGTGATAGGTGTGGGCCAGTTAGCCACTGCCTCTACATTGGCTGGCTCTGGTGTCTGGCTCCCACACCCCACTCTGTGACCCAGGTACTGTACTTCCGCCATGCCTAGATGGCACTTGTCTGGTTTCAAGGTCAGGCCAGCGGCCCGAATCTTGTCCAGAACCACCCCTACATGTACCAGGTGTTCCTCCCAGGACTCACTGTAGACCGCAATGTCATCCAGGTATGCACAAGCAAATTCCTGTAAGCCATCGAGAAGTCTATCCACCATACACTGGAAGGTAGCCGGAGCATTCTTCAACCCAAATGGCATGACCTTAAACTGGTACAGGCCAAATGGGGTGACGAAGGCCTACTTAGGGATAGCATCCTCGGCCAGGGGAATCTGCCAATAGCCCTTACACAGGTCTATGGTGGTCAGATAGCGTCTCCTACGGTCTAGTAACTCGTCTACCCGGGGCATCGGGTAGGCGTCAGTTGTGGTCCTCTCGTTGAGCCGCCTGTAGTCCACACAGAACCGGGTGGTCCCATCTTTCTTAGGCACTAAGACTACTGGCGAGGCCCAAGGGCTGTCTGAGTGCTCGATGACGCCCAGCCTGGTCATCTCCTGAATCTCCTTCCGCATTCCTTCCCGGACGGCTTCAGGGATACGGTAGGGTGGTTGTCGTAAAGGATTCAGTCCGGGGGTCACTACCTTATGTACAGCTAAGGTGGTGTAGCCAGGCTCTTGGGAGAACGTTGCCTGCTTCTCCCACAGAAGCTGTTTTGCCTGTACCTTCTCCGTAGGGCTTAACCGATCTCCTAGCTGTACAAGACTAGTGATGTCAGTCTGGGGTTCCTTCTCTAATAAGTCGGGCAGGGGTAAATTCTCTGGGTCGTCTGCAGCCGGGGCGCACACTGCAGCGATATCTTCTGGTCTCATCTGATACTCCTTCAGCATATTCACATGAAAGGATCGCTGAATCCTTTCATCTGCACAGCTGGCTATAAGGTAGGTAGTATCACATACCTGAGCTACTATCTTATACGGGCCCTGCCAAGATGCTTGCATCTTGTTCGTCTTCACAGGCTTGAGCACTAAAACCTTCTGCCCAACCTGGAAGACCCGCTGTCGGGCACCCCGATCGTACCACCTCTTCTGTCTCCCCTGGGCCGCCTGGAGATTCTCCCTTACCATTAGGGACAGTTTCTCCATGCGGTCCCGGAGTTCCAGGACATATGATACTATGGGAATTCCTTCCTGCTCTGTCTCTCCCTCCCAGTGTCCTCTGATGAGATCTAGGGGTCCGCAGACCCTTCTCCCATAGAGTAGCTCAAAGGGAGAGAACCCAGTAGATTCCTGGGGCACCTCTCTGTATGCAAATAGCAGATGAGGCAGGAATCGCTCCCAGTCTCTGCAAGTGTCAGTAAAGGTCCTCAACATCTGCTTGAGGGTGCCGTTAAAGCGCTCGCAGAGACCGTTAGTCTGTGGGTGATAGGGTGAACTAAGTAGCGGTTTAATGCTGCACACCTTCCACAGATTCTGGCTGAGCACCGCAGTAAAATGAGTTCCCTGGTCGGAGAGAATCTCCTGAGGGAACCCTACCCTAGTACTGTCTCTGCCTCAATATTAGACAGCGCTACTGCCTCTGAGTAACGAGTGGCATAGTCCACCACGGTGAGAATATACTTCTTACCTGATGGACTAGCCCTGGCCAGTGGACCCACAATGTCAACGGCTATGCAGGAAAAGGGTTCCCCAATGATAGGCATAGACATAAGCCTAGCTTTTGGGTGATCCCCCCCGTTTACCTACCCGTTGACATGTGTCACAAATGCTACAATATACCCGCACGTCTCTGTTAAAATTGGTCCAGAATAAATTTTGGGTGATCCTATGAGCTGTGCGGCGGAACCCTAGATGTCCAGTGTAACGGATCACCTGGTACCCCGACTGGGTACCTCCGTTGAAGGATGCTCCTAGCGCTTCCTGAGGACTCCAAGCACTGCAGCAGACACCACAACCACCGAATCAGAGAAGCATATGAATACTCTCAAGCATATGAATGTTGTATACAGCCGAATAGGAAAAACCATGCGAATAGGTTTACACTCCTAGCAGTCAAACTGGAACAGCATACAATAAATCCTCCCCCAATAATTAGATGACACTTCACTTTGAGGGTTAAGCAGGAACTGTCTGGACTGGCACATACAGCCTCTTTTATTCCCAATCCACAAACTTAGTACTGCCCACAGGGTTTTACATAACAACCAATAACACACGTACATTACAGAAAGACACTCCCACACAAAATCCTCCCCTCTGGCTGTGATATGATTACTGAACACAATGGTTAATCTAATTATCACAGCCAGAGAAATACAGTTTTTCCACATTATTCATAACTTGAAAAGTATGCATCACATTCACATACATTTTCAGAATCAGCATACTCCAAATACAAACATATGTCAAAATCATACATATTGGTCCAGTGGTTCAAAAGTTAAGGAAAAGTCCTATTTGACCAAATGCAGCATGGCTTTTCTGCCCAAAACCAGTTCCACAGAGTCTTCTATCCTGGAGATAATTGGGGAAGTAATCCAATTATCTCCAGGACAGAGGCAAAACTCCATTAGCCACATGGCAGCAAAAGACAATAAAACACATAAAAACATATAACTGTGCAGCCATTGCACAAAACAGGTACATTCAACATATCCCCAGATAGCTCAGATCTGAGCGCACATTATTACTGAATGGCGCTCAGAGCACACACATACAGTTCAATTGCCATGGAGCCAAAGTCTTTCCCATAGTCTTTCATTATACAAATGGGCTCCATGGCATAGCTATCTGGGTAACACTGCTCACATAGGGAAAGTACCAAAAGACCCAGCTTTTGGGTCTTTGCAGGGGAAAATCCATCCTTTCAACATGGGGCCATAGTCACAGGGCAGGAGGCCGGCAATCAGTCTTCTCCAATGCCCAGTGGCGAGGCTGGTTCCGCCACATCCAGCTAACGGCACATCATGCCCAATCCGCAGAGTCTCCTGCCGGTATTTCGCAGGCACCACCAGCTGCCAGTTCTGCAGAGGGGTATTCTTTTTCTGGGAAGGTTTAGGAATCCTATACAACCTATCTCCCACCCACTCATAACGCTCCCCATCTACTTCCTCTTCCCCAGCATCTGCCCTAGCCCTATACTTCGCCAGGGTCGGATCCTCCCGGGTTTCCTTCCCGTACGTCTCTTTGGTATCCCAGCCTAAGGGGGCCTGATCTAAGGTGCAAGTCGGGTAGAGGGTCTTACCTGGATCTCAGCAGCAGGTGGGCCGGTCTCGGCGGAACGGGTCTGGGCACGGGTCGTCACAGCATTAACTTCAGCGGGACCCATGGGAGCGTATGCAGAGGCCAAATCATTTCCAAGGAGGACGTCAGCTGGTAACTCCCTCATGATCCCCACATTCACATGTCTAGCGCCCACTCCCCAATCCAAATGTACCCGGGCAACGGGCAGGTGGAACACAGCGCCCCCGGCTACTCTCACAGCCACAGTGTATCCGGTGTGCTGGTTCTCAGACACCAAGTGCTTTTGGAGCAATGTCATGGTTGCACCGGTATCCCGCAGACCACTGACCTCCTTCCCGTTCACCTTGACGAGTTGCCGGTGTTGTTGTCGGTTATCCCGGTGGGCAGCTTGGACGGGGTCTGCCTCGTGCAGGACGCCCCAACATTCCTCCTCCTCTACGCAGTGGGAAGCAGACGGAGGGTTGCGCTGGTTCCCGCTGATGGGTCTCCTCCAAGACTGGGCCTGGTTAGCTGTATTTAGCGGGCACTCCGGTCGTTTGTGCCCTAGCTGCTTGCACCCGAAACACCGGATGGGCTGTGAGTAGTCCCATGAATTAAACCGGGGTGGCTGAGGGTAGTTATTAGCTATTAGCTGGCAGTTGGTAGACGGTAGCTGCTGGGGGTGCTGCTGGTCGGTACTCCACTCTGGCATGAGTCTTATTAATCGCACTGTCCAGTTTACGGGCATCCGTGTACTCATCTGCCAGGCGGGCAGCTTCATGCAGGGTGGAGGGTTTACGGTCCCGTACCTATTCTCTGACTCCTGGGGATAATTTCCCAAAACAATGTTCTAGCAGGAACATCTGCAGCACCTCTTCCCCGGATACGGCTTGGCACCCCGCCATCCAGTGAGCGGCTGTGCGATGTACTTTACAGGCCCATTCAACATAGGAATCCCCGGCTAGTTTGGCAGTGTCTCTGAACCGCCTCCGGTATGCCTCCAGTCTAACGGCATACCTGGAGAGCAAAGCTTCTTTTACAGCCCCATAATCCCCGATCTCCTCATCAGGAATGGTCCGAAAAGCGTGACTGTCCTGGCCGGATAACTTTCCGGACAATATAGTAACCCAGTCTTCTGCAGGTACCTTGTGTAGCGCACATTGCCGCTCAAAATCAGCAAGGTACCCATCAATCTCTACTTCTGTCTAAATGAAGGA